ATATGCAGGAGCAGGATTTCTGGGTTGAATATTTCTGTCTTTAGGTCTTTGAGGAATTATCACACTATCTTCCACAATGGTTGAACTAATTTACACTCCCATCAACAGTGTATAAGCTTTCCTATTTCTCCAGAACCTTGCTAGCATCCGTTTTTGTTTTTTTTTTTGGTTTTTTTTGGGTAGGGGGGGTTGTTGCTGTTTGTTTTGTTTTGTTTTTTGAGATGGAGTCTCACTCTGTCACCCAGGCTGGAGTGCAGTGGAGTGATCTTGGCTCACTGCAACATCTGCCTCCCAGGTTCAAGCGATTCTCCTGCTTCAGCCTCATTAGTAGCTGGGACTACAGGCACATGCCGCCATTCCCGGCTAATTTTTGTATTTTTAGTAGAGATGGGGTTTCACCCTATTGGCCAGGATGGTCTCGATCTCCTGATCTCGTGATTCACCCACCTCAGCCTCCCAAAGTGTTGGGATTACAGGCATGAGCCACCGTGCCCAGCCACATCTGTTATTTTTTGACTTATTGATACCATTCTGACTAGTGTGAGATGCTATCTCATTGTGATTTTGATTTGCATTTCTGTGATGATCAGTGATGTTGAGCTTTTCTTTCATATGCTTCTTGGCCATATGTATGTCTCCTTTTGAGAAGTGTCTGTTCATGTCTTTTGCCCACTTTTTAATGGAGTTGTTTGGTTTTTTTCTTGTAAATTTGTTTAAGTTCCTTATAGGTGCTGGATAGTAGACCTTTGTCAGATGCACAGTTTGCAAAACTTTTCTCTCATTCTGTAGGTTACCTGTTCACTCTGTTGATAGTTTGTTTTGATGTGCAGAAGCTCTTTAATTAGATCCCATTTGTCAATTTTTGCTTCTGTTACAATTGCTTTTGGCATCTTTGTCATAAAATCTTTGCCTGTTCCTGTGTCCTGAATGGTGTTGCCTAGATTGTCTTCCAGGGTTTTTATAGTTTTGGGTTTTACATTTAAGTCTTTAATCTGTCTTTGGTTGATTTTTGTGTATGGTGTGAAGAGAGGAGTCCAGCTTCAATCTTCTGCATATGGCTAGCCATTTATCACAGCACCATTTATTGAATAGGGAGTCCTTTCCCCATTGCTTGTTTTTGTCAGTTTTGTCGAAGATCAGATGGTTGTAGGTATGCAGCCTTATTTCTGGGCCCGCTGTTGTGCTCCATTAGTCTAGGTGTGTGTTTTTGTACCAGTACTATGCTGTTTTGCTTATGTAGCCCTGTAGTATAGTCTGAAGTTATATAGCATGATGCCTCCACATACCAGCATTTGGTGTTGTCTGTGATCTGGATTTTGGCCATTCTAATAGATATGTAGTGGTATCTCGTTGTTGTTTTAATTTTCATTTCCCTGATAACATATGACGTGAAACATTTTTTATAGGCTTATTTGCCATCTATGTATCTTCTTTGAAAGGGTGTTTCCTAAGACATGTGGCCCATTTTTTTTTTTGAGTTGTTTGTATTCTTATTGTTGAGGTTAAGAGGTTTTTCATATCTTATAAGTTTTTTATCTGATATGTATTTGCAAATATTTAATCTCAGTCTGGCTTGTCTATTTATTCTCTTGATCATGATTTTTGCGTAGAAAAAATTTTAGATTTTATTGGTCCAGCTTATTAATTCCTTCTTTCATGGATCATGCCTTTGGTATGACGTCTAAAAAGTCATTGCCAAAACCAAGGTCATCTCTTGTTATCTTCCAGGAATTTTATAGTTTTGTACTTCACATTTAGGTCTGTGATCAGTTTTGAGGTTTTTTTGTATGTGAAAGGTGTAAGGTCTGTGTTTAGATTCATTTCTTTGTACATGAATGTCCAGTTGTTCCAGAATCATTTGTTGAAAAGACTATTTTCTCCATTGTATTGCCTTTGCTCATATGTATTGCAATGCCTTTCCTACACTGTATTACTTTTGCTCAATGATCAACTGACCAAATTTATGTGGGTCTGTTTCTGGGCTTTCTATTCTGTCCCACTGATCTATTTGTCTGTTCTTTCACCACATTGCTTAATCACTGTAGCTTTATAGTAAGTCTTTAAGTTGGGTAACGTCAGTCATCTGATGTTGTTCTTCTCCTAAATATTGTGTTGACTATTCTGGGTCTTTGCCTTTCCAGATGAAAACTCACATTACAATCAGTTTCTTCCTATCTACAAAATAACTTGCTGAGATTTTGATTGGAATTGCATTGAATATATAGAACCAGTTGGGAAGAACTGATATCTTAAAAATGTTGTCTTTCTATCTATAAACATGAAATATTCTGCCATATTTCCATTGTATACTTTTATGGTTTCATATGTCACATTTAAATGTTTGACACTTTTGAAATATTTCCAAATGGCTATGCAGTTATTCCAACATCATTTACTGAATTGTCCTATAATTTGGGGTATCTTCTTTATCATATTCTGAATTACCATAGTAGTTGGACCTATTTCCGGATTTTCTATTTTGTTTCATGGGCAGCGCTATTCATTCACCACAACTACCTTGCTTTAGTTTTTGAGGCTTTATAGTATGTTTTTTTATCTGGTTAGGCTAGCCATTTCTTTTATTTGCAAGTATCCTTCTTACCATTCTAGTTTATTTTTTCAAGTGAACTTTGGAATGAGCTTATCTAATTAAAAACAAAACCCTGTGTATACTATTATGTTAGTTGTAAAAATAAGTTAATAAGAACTGACATTTTATTATTATGAGTTTTTCTATCCAAGTGTGTAGTTATTCCATTTTCTCAAGTCTCCTTTTGTATCTTTTGGGATTTAAAAGTTTTTGTTCCTATATGTATTGCACATTTTTAATTAAGTTTATTCCTAGGTGTTATGTCTTTATATATGCACGGCCACTGTAATAGGGTGATTTCTCCATTATATTTTCTAACTGGCTGTTATTTGCATATGCAAAAGTATTGATTTCTATAGTTGTGAATCCTGCCACCATACTAAATTATCTTATTGTTTGTAATTTTTTTTAGTTAATTCTCTTGAGTTTTCCAGATATACAGTCATAAGATCTGCAAATAGTAATAGTTTTACGTCCCACTTTTCAATTTTTTTTTACTGTCAATTTCTTTCTCTCGTCTATTTAAATTGGATAATTCCTCCAGTACAATTTTCAATAACGTGAGCATTTTTGCCTTGCTCTTGTTTCTAATTAGAATGTTACAAATTCCTGAGTAATGATGATTTTGGCTTTTAGGTTGAGAGAGATATATTTTATCACGTTAAGAAAGTAACCATCTATATCTATTTTATTAAGTGTTTTTTTTAATCAAAGCTAGAACTATCTGCTCTTTGAAAGCTTTATAGAGTTTTCCCTTGTTCCCTTCAAAACTCACATTAAAATTTATGACCCAATGTAACACTATTAAGTGGTGGGGTCTTTAAGAGGCAATTGGATCATAAGGGCTCTGCCCTCATGAATAGATTAATCTACTGGTGGATTAATGGGTTAATGAATTAATGGATTATTACTGGAATGCATTAGTCATCATGAGAGTGGGTCTATTATAAAAGCTAGTTTGGCTTTTGTGTCCCTCTCATCCTGCAATGCCTTCTACCATGTTATGACACAGCATGAGGCCCTCATCAGAAGCTGATCAGGAGCAGCCTCCCAGTCTTGGACTTCCCAGACTCCAGAATAGTAAGAAACAAATCTGTTTTCTTTCTCAATTGCCCGGCCTCAGGTATTCGGTTATAGCAACACAAAATAAAGTAAGACATCATCAATACCTGGTGCTTTTTTGGGAAAGTAGCTCTTTGATTATTTTTTTCAATTCAGTTTATTTAGGTAATTTACTTCTTCTAAAGTTAGTATTGATAAATTATATTTTTCTAGAAAAATATCTATATCATCTACATTTTTACATTCATCTGCTTAAAGTAGAACCAAGTGGTTTCTTTTAATTTTTAAAAATTTTTCTCTGTTTCTTCATTGTTTCGCCCTTTCAAGTTCTCATTTGTGTGTTTACATTTTGACAGTTATTTCTTAATTATGTTATCTAATGATTTATGTATTTCATTGGTTCAAAGAACTAGAGCTGGGATTGATTTACTAGTACTGTTAATCTGTTTTCTAATTTGTTAATTCCCACTTTTATCACTATTGATACCTTCCTTCTAGAGTCCTTCAATATATTTTGGTATATTGTTTCTAACTTTTTGAGCATAATGCTTAACTCATTTTATTTTTTCTTTTGCTATTTAAGCTATGATTTTTTTTTCTCTGTACACTGCTTTATCTGTGTAGTAGTTTTCTAAGGCTGCCATAGCGAAGTACCACAAACCAGGTATCTTAAACGCAGTTCAAGACTCGCAGTTTTCTGAGAGCTGGAAGTACAAGGTCAAGGCATGATTAGGGTTGGTTCCCTCTGAGGGCTGTTAAGAAGAATCTGCCCCATGCCTCTCCCCCAGCTTCTGGTCGTTTGCTGGCAATCTTTGTCAGTCCTTGGCTTGTAGAAGCATCACCCTGATCTTGCCTTCTTTTCACGTAGTCTTCTCCCTATATATGTGTATCTGTGTCCAAATTTCCCCTTTTTTATGAGGATACCAGTCCTATTTGGTAAGGACACCCGTTCTAATGACTTCATTTTAACTCAATTACCTCTGTAAAGACCTTATCTCCAAATAATACATTTTGAGATAATGAGGGTTAGGACTTCAACATATGAATTTGGGTACACAACTCAACCCATAGTATTCCACAAATTCTGATAAAGAGTACTTTCATTACTGTTTTTTCCTAAAACAATCTTCCATTTTGATTTGTATTTCCTCTCTGAGCATTAAGAGAGCTTTTATAATTTCCAGATGGAAGGAGTTTTTGCTTTCTCTTTTGTTATCAGTGTTGAGTTTTAATGAATTATAGTTACTCAATGTTATCCATACTATATCTATTTTGGGAATTTATTAAAGATTTATTTATGAGTTAATATATGATCACTTTCTATGAATGTTTTCACAGCTTTTGAAAAAACAAAAAGCTTATTCTGTATTCTTTAGTTACATGGATTAATCATGTCTGTCTCATTAATTACTTAGGTATTCTATATCCTTGTTTATTATTGTCCTCTTGGTATAAAATAGACTGAGAAAAGTGAATTAAATTCCCTTTATATTAGGGTATCTGCCTATTTCTTGTGTCTAATTTCTGCTTTATAAAGGTGGATGCTATATTATTTGGCACATAGTTATTCATAAATGTTATCTTAAACTGATTTATATCATTTACATTAAAAGGTACCCTTCCTTCCTTATTTATTGATCTTTGTCTTGAATTCCATGTTGTGTGATATTAAGATATCAATCACTGCTTTCCTTGTGTTTGTATTTCTCTGGTGTATCTTTAACTCTTAAACTTTGTGAGTATCTTTGTTTAGATGTATCTCTTACATATAACAGAGTTGGGTTTGCTTTGCGATTCATTCTGAAAATTATCTTAATGAAGATTTACTTTTATTAACAGATAAAATATATTTGATCTTTGTCCTATCATATTATTTGTACTGTGTTCCTGTTGAATAATTTCATTTTTTAAATCTTTTCATTATGTGGCTATTATGGACTAAATGCTTGTGCTCCTCTCCCAACCCCCACCAAAATTTACGTGTTGAAATCCGTACCCCAATGTGATGGTATTAGGATGTGGGGACTTTGAAGATAATTAAGTCATGAGTGAGGAGGCCTAATGAGTGAAATTAGTGTTCTTCTAAAAGAGACCCCAGAAAGTTATCTTGCTCTTTCCACCACGTGAGGATAAAATGAGAAGTCTTCAGTCTGCAGCCCTGAAGACAGTCCTCGGCAGAAGCTGACCATGCTGGCACTCTGATCTCAGAATTCCAGCTTTCAGATCTGTAAGATACAAATTACTGCTGTTTATAAACCACTCAGTCTGTGGTATTCTGTTATAGCAACCTGAACTAAGACACTATAGCTTTTATGTGTAATTATTCTAATATTAAGAAAGTCTGTATTTGTGTTCTAACAGTTGCCTTTATAAGTATAGTATTATTTTAATTTTCTTAGCTATCTATTTCCTTAGTTCTTTATTATAAACAATAGTGAAATAATTATATTTTCTCTTTCTTTCCCTGTCATGTTTCTTCGTTCTCCCACATAGCTCAGAGATGAGGACACCACTGATAATCAATAAATATTGATTAGCTGTTACTACTTTCTAAAAACAAAACACAACAAAATGCACACACAATGTCAAGAAAAGAGATTTCATTCTGTTTCCTCTTCTGCCTGGATATTCCACTCTGGTTTGTCTAGAATCGTCTCCCACTCCTGTTTGAAAACATTCTCTCTGACCTAAAGACAGGAAATTTAATACCTTGGAGATAGATAAAGATTGAGTCAATGCAAGAATATATGACACATTCATATTTCCCTGTTACATCCTGATTTCTTTATTGCTCAGGCTCTGAATATGGCCTAAAACCAGAGATTAGTGGGAGAAATCTGAACTGAATCTCTACAGGGTCAACATTCATCAAATGCTGACATTCCAAGGTGCTGGGTCCACAGGACTGAGAACACAAGTCAGGAAATAGAAGCAAATTTTAGGGACTTACCTGATTATCAGAACGGGTCACATGGCCTAGGGCATCTGCCTACTGCATATAGCATGGCCATAGGTCTCAGGGAACAAGGCTGCTTTATGCCTGATGAACCAAGGTATTTCAGTTTGGGTAACAAATTATAGAATCATCCCACCTATAACCCACACACATTAAATGTGACAATTAGGTCATATCTAATTAGGCCAGTGATAAGGTAGCCTTGACCATCATTATCACTGTAAATAGAAAGCACACACCTTGATGTTGCCATTGATTGGCTGCCTTTCTGGCTAAGTCTCAGTTTCCTCCTCTGTAAAATAAAGACAAAAAGGGGATGAGTGCATTGATCTCAAAAGTGTATTTCATTGGCATATCAGCATTGGAGTTTTACATAGTTCAACCATTTTTCATTATGATCACATTATGTAGGTCATGGTTATTTTAAGGCTTAGAACAAAAATGCCCAGAAAAGTGCTTTCTAAGTCATGTGACAGTGGTTGAATGACAAGCACTGTTACTATGGAAGATTTCCTGGCACTTACTTTCTTTTGGAAAGAAAAAAAATGAAACATTTCTCTTGATTTTTACAAGAGTTGAGTTCACGGAAAGAAATCTTCCACCATCCCAGGCATGTGCACAAGGTCTATAGGATTCATGAGGACAGCAGTACCCGGTTTGTAGGAATCAGGATCTGAGCAGGGTGTCTTGTGTGCTCACAGAAATTCCAAGCATACAATAGTTTCAGGTGACAGCCAATTCGTGGGAGACTCTGGGGACCTTAATTAAAAGGTCAATTTTTTTGAAAGTAAAATGATTTAACTCAGGATTTTGACAGTGTGCATTAGAAGTATTCATGATCTGTTCTCTCTGGCTGGAGTTCAAACTAACTGAAGCACAGACTTCTGCCTCTAAGGAATGAGTAACAAAGACATTCACTGGAAAAAAGTAACTAATACATATCCCAGACCACCCTTCCCTTGTCCACCTCCATCTCTTGTATAGAATCTATCTTTAAAGGAAACATGTCTAGAGATGAGACCCAGAGCTTTGGATCCACCTGCTATTTTGGGAAATTTTTCTAAGTATCTTAGTTATACTACATCCTTTCTCTTTCCCTACCTAGAATGACTTATTCATTTGCCTAATCCATAAATTCCACCCTCTTAGATGAGAGGTCAGCACACTTTTTCTCAAAGGGCCAGGTGGCAAATACAGGCTTTGTAGACCATATGATCTCGGTTGCAACTACTCAGTTTTGTGGTTGTAGTGCAAGAGTTACTGTAGACAACACATAAACAAATCGGCGAGGCTGTATTCCATCATAATTGTATTTATGGACACTAAAACTTGAATTTCATATCATTTTACTGGTCATAAAATATTCTTCTTTGGATTATCTTTCAACCCACTGAATATGTGAAAACCATTCTTAGCTTATGGGTCATACAAAAATGGTGGCAGATCAACATACTTTGCCAACCCCTCCTCTATATTGTGAGGAACTTGAGAGCAGGGCTGAACGAGAATCATCTCGCTATCTCCTAAGGCTGGGTTTCACTGCCTGACACTAGAAGACATCCAAAACTGTGGAGGAAGAAGTAAGAGACAAAGGCCAGAGAAAGCACAGCAAGTGAATCCATCACACACAACAAAACAAACCCTTTATGTTGTTCAGAGTGGGTACTAGAAGAGGGAGAACGTGTGGTAGTAGGGTTCTTCTTTTCTCCTGACATTTTTTACACCAGATGGGTGGGAATTATCCACACCATTTCTCCAACTCTCTGACACTAACTGGGTAGCCAACAATTCAATTCAATTCTGTCACTATCTAGCTGAAGTTAACATCAAATCCTACAAGTTAAAGGGCTTAGTCCCACAAGAATGGCCCCACTTCAGATACCAATCGCAAGTCCCAGGCCCCCTATACTTCTGACAACCAAGTGTAAACTGGGAGTTCCCAAATTCACTCTTTCATGTCAGATCATTTGCTAGAATGGCTCACAAAACTTGGGAAAGGACTCTACTTAACATTTACCAGTTTATGATAAAGGATACAAATGAACGGCCAGATGAAGAGGTACATAGGGTAAGGTCTGGAAGGGCTCCAAGTATGGGAGCTTTTGTCCCCATGAAGTTGGAGTGTGCCCCTCTCCCAGCATGTGGATGTGTTCACTAACTCAGAAGCTCGCAACCCCATTGTTTAATTTTTATGGCGGCGTCATTATGTAGGTACAATTGATTAAATCATTGGCCATTGGTGACTGATCCAATCTTCACCCATTTTGCCCTCCCTGTTGGTTGGGTGGTGGGGCGGGGATTGAAAGTTCCAAGCTTCTAATGAAGGCTTGGTCTTTCTGGTGACAAGATTTCTAGGGTCCCACTAAGAATCACCTCATTAGAACAAAGATGATTCTATCACCCTTATTATTCAGGAAATTCCAAGGGTTTTAAGAGCCTTGTACCAGGAACCAGGAGCAAAGACCAAATGTCTTTCTAATTATATCTTAAATAGCTAATAACATCACTTTGGAGTCAGAAAGACACCTGTGTTTGCATCCCAGCTCCACCATTTCCTGGTTTGGCCCTGGGCAAATAACTGCACATTAGAGTTCATTTTCCTGCAAGTAACAGAAAAAAATAGAAATAAAAAAACAAAAAAAACTAATGGTGGCTTGAACACTTATCAAGAAACATGGGCATAGGGGTTCCAAGGCTGGTTCAGTCACTCAGCATTGTCACTGAGATCACAGATCACACACTCTTTCTTTCTCCTGCTCATTGGTTTTTTATCTCTGTGTTTGTCATCTGTGGTTGCCAGTGGCTGCCAGAACCTTAAGCGTCACATCCACCATGTTCAAGCCAAGAAGAAGGAAAAGAGTAAGTATACCAGCTGTCTCCTCTTATGCTATTCCCTTTATCTGGAAACCAATGACTTACCTAGAACTCTCTAAACAGATGCCATTTATATTCTCATTGTCCAGCCCTGGGTTCCATGACCACCCTTGTTGCAAGGGAGGTCAGTCTTTATGGTGGTTAGCAAGGGAGGAGGGAGTTGGGAATTGTTTGGGAATGGGGCGAGGGGAGTGGGGCCTTAATAGTGTCCATCTCACATATTGTTGTGAGGGTAAGTGAAGCAAATGTGTGTAAAGCATTGCACAGAAGCACTCAGTCAATGGAAGCTACTATTATCAATAGGGCAAGCTTCAATATTTTCAAAATCATAAAACATAATCTCTACATTGCCAGTATAAAAACTGCTATTTCTCAAAGTTAGAAAGCCTCACACCCTCATTTCACAATGCCAATAATTACATACATTTAAGGTGAATGAAGACTGAAATAGAAGAGAGAGAGAGAGACTGTGAGAGAGAGATATTCAGCTATTGATGTATAGCATTCCATATGTACATAGAGTTACACACACACAAACACACACACACACACACGCATGCATTAAGAATAAATGAGGAAAGCCAGGTGTTGACAGATAGGTTCTGCATTCTGAATGTTAAATTAGATAACTCAAGCACTTTCCTCAGGCTAAAATCCTGAGTCATCCTTCTCCGTCTCTCTTTCCCTTTCCCTAGTTAGTCAAAAAGTTCTGTAGATTTTGCACTGCAATATGCCTTCTATTTGTTCTCTCTTTTCCACTGCCCAAGTGCAACCATTGTCACCTCTTATCCAGACAATTGCAATAACTTCCTAAGTATACCCCTGTCTCTAGTCATTCTGCCCCCTACCAAAACAATCCATTCTCACCTTCTTGCCAGTTGTCTTCTTAAAGCAAACCTCTGACCATGCCACTTTCTGGCTTGAAAAATTTAAATAGTTCCCGGTTGCCTACAAAGTCCCAATGCCTCAAATATTATTCAAGGATGTCCTTACCTGCCCTCAACCTCCCTTTCTCACCTTCTCATTTCCTTACGCACTCATAGTCCAGCTTACTTAGAAACTGTTCCCTGTTCTCTCAGCAAATGCCTCCCCTATGCTTCGTGCATTTATCTTAAATCACACTAATCCTTCTTTGCTCTTCTACATCCTACCTAGAGGGATGACAGTAGCTTCAACTCTGTCTCATGGAAGACTACAGAGCACCTAGAATTTTATGGACCATAATTTGTGCAAAATTATCTGATTAAATCAATAAAGCTTTCAGTAATTCCTTCTGATGTTTTTCTAGTCCTGGGACATTTAAATGTGCTGATGACTGACAATTTAAAATTGAAATGTTCCATCAAATGAGCTGGGAAAGAGAGAGTTGATTCAGGACAGCAGGGTCAGAATCAGGACTGGACAAGGAAGAGGCCTGGTTGGAGCTCGGTTTGGTTCTCTTCCTCCCTCTAAATAGAGATGTCAGATGAGCTTTCACATAGCAGAGAGACATGTACTCTGTGCTGACCCCAAGTGGGAAGGAAGCTATTATTGTTGGTGCCAGACATTATACTGGATGTGCCATTTTGCTGCCCAGTTAACCATCCTAATATCTCTTAAGGTAGGGTTTCTCATTATCTCTATTTTCTATCAGAAATGAGAGATCCAGAAGTGAGTAAATTCTTAAAGTCACAGTGTTGGGATTCAAAAACAAGTGTATCTGACTCCAAAATCCCAGTCTTTGCACTTATCCAAGATCATACAGCAGAATAACTAAATTTATTTGTTATTAATTTTTAAAATTGACACATAATAATTGAACATATCCCCTGGGGTACATAGTGCTGTTGCATCTATTCTCAGCTTTTTGGCTATGATCACGTATAGCACAGTGATATACATATAATGCAATACATATAATATAGTAATCAGATCAGGAAAATCAGCATATACATTATCTCCAACATATATGACTTCTACGTGTTGAGAACCTTCAATATCCTCCTTCTAGCTATTTGTATATTCTAACTATGTAATACATTATTGTTAACTAAAGTCATCCTACAGTAGTAGACAACAGTAGAGCTTATTCCTCCTATCCAGTTATACTTTTATATCCTTTAACAAATCTTTCCCCGTTCCCCACTTTCCTTATCTTCCCCCACCTCTGGTATCCTCTGTTCTACTTTTACTTCTATGAGATTGACTTTTTTTTTTTTTTAACCTTCTACATATGAGTAAGAACATGCAGTGTTTACCTTTCTGTTGCTGGCTTATTTTACTTAATAAAATGTCCTCCGTTTCATCCACATTGCTTCAAATGACAGGCTTTCATTCTTTTTTATGGCTGAATAGTATTCCATTGTGTATATATACCACAATTTCCTTATCCACTTATCTGTTGTGGGACACCTAGGCTGATTCCATTTCTTGGCTATT